CGTTGTGTTCTCTTTCTTCTTTTTTTCAGCATGGAATAAACCTATTACTTGTTCCTTTGCAGCCTACGCATGCTGACGCAGCTACCCACCTGAACTACATTTCTTTTTGGTCAAGTTTGAAAAGTTTTTCTCAGGATATGGTTAGGGCCGTGGGGTTCAAATCCTTGGGGTTCTGCTTCTGTACCCTTGTGCAAGACACTTCACTCAAATTACTCTATTAAAATGCTAAACTCTATAAATTGGTACCAGTCTGGGGCTCTCAGGTCCAGCATTAGTTAAATTAGTTTATATTTTTTATCACTTTGTTCAATCTCTCATTTTACAAGCAGGTGAAACTGAAAATAATGTTAAGTGCAAATCACATGCATCACAGACACTTAAGATATAACACATCTTAGATTTAAACTGCAGATATATGGAATATAATACTTGAACTGCGCTCCCAATGACAGCTCTCACTTGTTGTGCCATAGAGAATAAATATTACTTTAAATAACACTTAAGAACACACAGCTAGCCTTAAATTGACTTATAGTGATATACAGATGCAGCTGCTCAAATCGTGCTGTATTTCTTCCAAATACTTCAAAAGTAACGCAGTGCACTGCATTATGATATTCACAGGCCAAAGAAGATCAATAGGTGGCACTTGTGGTACGTTAGATGTTAGTGAAACAACTGCTTCATTTAATATTTCTCTACTGTGCATGTTTCTACTTCAAAATCTACTTAATATGGAATATTTCTATGGACTTTTCCAACTAATTAGAAATTTTGGTAGCTAAACATAAAAATAACAGAAGCATAATGTCTCTGAACATTAGAACGATATTAATTTAGGAATATAAAAATATTACACATACTGTATATGGCAGGTAGTAGAGTCTTAGGTTAAAAAAATACACATCACTTTTCCCCTTTCTTCATAAACATGTATCAAAGTATTTAACTCGTTCTCTTACTGTGGTTATTTTGGAAAAGTTTTGATGTGCTAGTTCTAACCATATTAAATTGATATACTTTATAAAAACAATCATATTTTATCCTTTTCTATGAATATGTGCTGTCGCTATTGTTGTAAAAAAAAGTTTTACTTTTTAAAAGGCACTTGATAGGGAATAATAAAATGGAATCATGTAACTAAAGAAATTAATAATGATATTAATTTAAGGATCTAAATATAATATATTTATAGTTCTGGTAGTAGTACTGTATTCCACTTTGTTTGTAAACATCTGCATCAATTTCTTTGACTCATTCACTTGTAATTGCTTTGGAAACATTTTGATGTGTCCGTTTCAGCTATGTTACTGAGCGCCACTTTGTGGGGGGAGGGTGTGTGGGGTGCAATTGAATTGTTTAGGCTGCAAATGAATTTGCACGCTCATTCTTGTCTGAAGAAGGCTTTGGAGCAGTTTACAACAATTTTTATTTCTTTGTGATTAAACTTTGAAGTGCAATGGCAAATGAAATCAATTCTAAATAAGACACTATCAACTGTAAATGTATTATGATGTTTCCATTGAAGTTTTAATTAAATGTATATAGTTAAGTGTACTGAGGAGTATCAGATATGAAGGAGACGGCACCAGCACCCCCTGGGACAGAATGACAAAGCAATTTGTAAGTGTTAGCTATCCAGTCATTGCAAAGGACGCTATGAACTGCAGATTTTAAATTCAATTAAAGTTTGACAAAATCAGCTACTTTTCAAGCAGTATATGACTTCTCAAAAGGTACCCCCTTTCTCTTGTGCAACAAATGTTTGATTTTTTAAAATAATTTTGAAACCTTGGACAGTATGTCTAAGGGCCAAAACACCCGCTTGGTCTTGTCTCCTGACATTCCACACACAAGAATCACATGATATCATATCCACAGTTATACCAAAACATTAGCATAATCATGAAAGAACTGCATTGTAATAATATACTGTATAAATACCCTGTATTATATAGTATGGTTTAAAAGCCACCATTGTACAGTATGTAAAACATATTTTTCATAATCAAAATTTTAAGTTAGATTGCTGATTATTCATTGCTAAAATTTGCATTACGACAAAATATAGATTTTTTCAATGTGGATATAAACCTGAAAGAGGCACATCACATTCACAACAAGCTATAATACTAAACTATTTGTTTAATATATCTGGCTATGTAAAATCACTGTGCTAAACTGGCACTTGGGTGCAATCTGCTACATTACAGTCTATGAACATTTCACTGTCCATTACCACTATAAGGACAATAAAAGCTTTAAGAAAACAAACGTCAAAATGTTTAACAAATATCCATAAGTGATATTTTTAGCTGCCAACATTTATTTACTTACGTGATTCCATATTAATATCCCCTATCAAGTGGTATTCAGTCAATATTACAACTTTGTTTTACAGAATTAACAGCAAATGTTCTTATTACAAAAGTGTTGCTATTAGAAAAGGATAAAACATTATACTTAAAACATTATTATGCTTGTTATGGAGTATATAAACTTTATATAGTTAGAATAACATGCCACAATATAATAATTTTATATATTTAACTAAGTAATGTTGTTTTGTAAAACAACCATACTTTCTTTTTTAATTAATTTATTATTTAACATACTGCTTATGCAGTTGAAAATTAGTAAAAGTCTAAACAGTATACAACATAAATTCCATTAATGGAAAAAGAAAGATTGTCCTTCAGCACTGACAAGGTGTTTTCTGGCAACAGCCCAAATGCTTCCGTACACCATTTCAATCATTTACTGCTCCACCTGGTTAGATCTGTACAATTTACTTTTGTTATGGTTTGAAATGCACTCCTTAATGATGATTCTTTCTAACCCCACTTTTTCACATGTTATTCCCTCACTGAAATCCATTTGATTTGTCAGGGGCTTGCACATTAGCATGCTATAAATGTAAGTCTGTTCTACGAAGACCCATTAGTCGAGTGTACTTGTATAAATATTCCAACCATAAATGTAAAAACACCTGCACAGTACTGTACGGTTATCAGGTTATGCATTAAAATCCAGTAAACTGGGAACTTTCAAGCTCTGATTCTGGGGCTCCAACAAGCATGGCTTGAGTGGCTAAGTGATTTGTTTCATTCAAGTCTTTTCTCATTATCTCTGCTTCTTCTAAATTACTGGACCCTTCATCCATAAACACAAATTTATTTACTTTACCTGAGCTATAGAGTAATCTGAAGAATTGGCAGCCTGAAGCCCTTCATTGCCACTGATGCCAACACCCACATGGGCAGTCTGGATCATGCCAACATCATTGGCTCCATCACCAATGGCTAGAGTAATCACCTTCACCTGCTTCTTCACCATTTCTACCACTTCTGATTTTTGCAGTGGAGAAACTCTGAAAAACAAAACCATCAATGTGATTCCTCATAGGAAATAACACAAAAACATTCTATACAGCTCAATCAAGCCTGAAAGATTCCAGGGAACAAGGTTCTATGAATTGCCCAATTTATTTCAGACAATAATGTTTTGTATATAGAGAAGCATTTTCCACCACATATTCCTATACTACCTTTCGTACAGATTGTATCATTGAGCTTGAAGTAGACATGCATTGAGACAGTCAGTTTCTTTCATTCATTTCATTTCAAATTAACATTTTAATTTAATAATATCTTTAGTCTTCAAATTTTAATATTAAATAAAATATTAATGATTGTCAAGAATCAAGAGATCCATTTTAATTATACTATATGATAATTATTCTAGTCATTTGGAAAAGTTAGATAACCAGAATGTGACTTTGAATGTTTTCCAAAGCTTAATTTTTGTACTATGGTTACCAAGTCTGAGCTTAGCTTTATTTTAATTATATATAGTTTATAATTTATAGGCTTGCTTGTGTTTTTGTTTCAGATTCACAGCAATTAATGTAATACTCTGTAACAGCAGGCAATTAAAAGAACTTTTCTTTTAAAAGTAACTTTCTTTAAACTTTTCAACACGTTTAGAGACTTAGGAATTTAAACTTCTTACACTCCTAAAAAGCTTATGACACCTGTAATTAAGTTAAATTCTATAAATATTAACACTGGATTTCATAATTTTCCTTCTTTTTGTACTATTTATCAAAGCTTATCATGAAGATGTCTTGCAAACAAATGTCAGGTTTAACCGATTTCGCATGTAATAAAGAATTATAATAATTAGTAAATATTAATAATTTGCTGAAGTTATTACATTACTCACAAGTTTTCCACTACTTGGCTTGATCGATACTGCAACTAGCCATTGTCAGAGTTGGTATAAATGAAATAATTAAGTTATGATAATTAAATTATATGGATGCTCTGATTACACAGGATAATAATAATTAGCATGAAACAAAAACATAAAAGAACATTAACTACAACTGACTAGTCACTGTAATAACTAATTTGATGTATGAGTGAATTAAGTACAGGCTGTAAAGCAGATATTTCACCACAGAAAATTTGCAATGTGAATAGCAGAAAATGGCACTACACAGAGGTATCAGGATGAAAATCAATATAAACACTTTTCTCATGAAGCTGGGATCCAAATTAACTTCTGAGCTGAATGTATAATAAGGCAACAAAAAGAACTAGTCAGGGTAATACAATGACACATGCATACAAATGCAATTATTAGTACTACGTGAAACTGAAATAGAAAAGTTCCTACGATGGATTGGGTCATCTGCAACCCTTAACTGGATGAATGGTTATATATAAATATAGCTAAACCAAATAGTTTCATGTGCTATGCCAGATAACTTTTATGTACTTTATGTGTAAATTACTGTGGTTACAGAGTGCTACATAGTGTATACTGAATAAAACAATGGAACAAGATTGCATGAAAAACATTCACTGAGGAAATAAATAAGATTTATATAATTAATTTAAAAGATTTCCACAGGTCAAGCTCTAAAACTGATGGCTACATTTTAGAGAACTGCTGAAGTTAATGGGTTAAGTAATTATATTTATCTTATGATCTTATTACGTTTAATGTTACCTGCAGCAGATCACAGCTTTACAAGACAAAGCAAGGTCCAGAAAATACTGCCTGATTCCAAATGTTAAGGCATATTTCAGAGATTTTCCATCAATGATGAGAGCAAAATCATTCTCCTTTCGTAAAGCATCTCCAAGCATACTACAGTGATGACTTAGAGACTCCCTTGTGCCCTGTAAAAGTAAAAACATTCTCAAAGATTATGTAATTTCATATACTGTAAAGTCTTAATACTGTAGTTACAGATGCAGTACATAAGTACAGTTCAATAAAAAAAGCTAGTTGCTGCACCTATGAACAAAACATTACTGTTTCATTTCAGATTACAAAAAATAACACACACCATAAAATGTTCATCAAAATATCATAATCAATTTTATATCTCTAATTTATTGTGAGTAGTTCAAATTAGATACACTCATGGAAACCTTTAGTTGCTGTCTAAAAAACATAATCAGAAATATGGCACTGTAGTCAAAAGGTGGGTGAACTATGAACTTTGAAGGCAAAAGTCCTGTGTTTTCAAAGATTCAATCACAATTATCTTATATAATGAAATGAAATAATGAATAATGCCATTTTCTGAACGTACATCCAGAGGTTTGCTTTTCTTCAATACTAAATTTGTAGGACTGTGGCATTTATGTGGTCTGCGGCAGGGCCTCTTTACCAACTGTCCTGTTGCTATGCAGCACTACTGAGACAGTAATCTCCAACCCTTTCCCAGAGCATGCACACTCTGGGGATGGATAATCAGCTTTCCCTAACCTTAGGTAATTATAATTGGAAGTGAGAACATGCCGGAGGTTATGGATTTACCCTTTTTCCAAGAGTAGTTATTATCATTGTTTCCTCTTCATTGTTTCCTCTGACACTAGAGTTACAAGGGAATGCTTATCCAACAAGAGAAAGTTCTTTAGTGGATTCTTGGTCCACCTGAGTGTTAACACTATATGAGATCCATTAACCCTGTGCTTGTGGATTCTCAGGTTCTATACTTGAGTTCTACATGTTACGTTTTGCTGCCAGTTTGCTTACTTAGCAAAACTCCTTGTCTGTATCACTGATATTCCTCAGTCCTAACTACGGTAACCTCGTCTGAAGTTAGTTTCAGTTCAAATGGTCCCTTTCTACTAATCATTCAGCCTGGGCTGTAGAAGTACTGAAAAAAAGATAGCCAACTCCAAAGAAAAATATGGAAGTTTCATAGTTTTACTACAAACAAAATGATGTATAAATTAAACAAAAATTGAGCAACTAAGGTACAAGGATAGTTTCATCAGTTTAGGTAAGGGTTTAATCATTTAATTTTGTTATTAAATCAAAGTGTTTAAATTAGGTGCATCTTGGGAACTCAGTTTGGAAGGCACCGCCCTACAGTATATAAAGATGAGTGTAGCGGTGAGGCTTATTAATAAGACAGAATTAAGTGTTGCTGTGCTTTCCAAAATGAGGCCCCATCTCTCTCTTCATCTCTGTGGCTGCACCACAGAGAAGCTATTCATGCAGGCTGATTTAAAGATGTTTTCTTTTGATAAGGGACAGCTCCCAAATGGGGATGCACTTA